TCTTTTTTTTTTTTTTTTTTAAAGGCAAGAACATCCCTCTCTCCAAAAAACTATGCAGTGAAACAAGTCAGGAAATGGAATATATCCCTAATATAATATGGCCGTTTCTGCAAGTATTTAGAAGATTTTAGATAGCTGGATTAAGAGGCTTGAACCAATGCATCTACTTAAGTCATGTTTAAGAAAGTCTGAATACATTCTCAGTGCTGAGACTATTCAAAGCACTTGTGTACAAAGCAGCATTATACTACCACAGACTATATTTGCAATACAAATGTTAAAAAGGAACATTTCTACGAAAACAAACAAAAAAGCAAGCTGTCACACACTAAAGACTTTACACACCTAGCATTTTTGATAATACTTAAAAATTCCTACCATCAAAAGCTTAGAAATGTCTTTTTTTTTTTTTCCAGTTTATTCTGCATTTTACAGCATCGTGTTTACCATTTTTCACATTTCTCCTCCAAGGTTGGCTTCATCTTGTGTTTTGCATGGATCTTTGCTGTGTGAAAAAAACACTTCAACACAGTGGAAAAAAAAGAAGTGTAATACCATAAAAAAAGGTTGGACTAGTGCAGTACCTGAAGTTATTTCAGCATTTATTTTTTATTAGATTTCAAGTAACTTGTATGCTTTCTTAACTTTCACCCAACTTCTAGTTTCCACAACATCTGGTGACCACAGCCATCTGCTCCAAGTTCACAGGACTCTGTACCTGCAGACAGGGCCATTTAGATTTTGACACTTGAAGAATAAAACAAACCCTTATTGTCAAAGAACCTGGTGCAAGAACAGCTACGCGGTTAAACACGAAAAAAGCCAAGCACGCACTTGAAATAAGGCAAATTAATTGACTGCACATGCATTTTTTGGAAAGTTTCAGAATGCTTCTTCTCTCCCCCCAGGTTGGCTGGCTTTAAGAACCACTTCCACGCTATTACCAGTCCTCACCGCATCAAGCAAGAGCAGCACCACCCTGGTGGCAACAAACAATTTACACGAGTTCCTTTCCACTCTAGAGGAATAGAGCACATTCTACGTGGTCTAGAGGCCACAAGAGGTGGTTTCTTCTGGCACGTGGCACCTGCGCTTGGGCAGTTTCCCGCTGCAGTTTCCCTCTTTCTGTCGGCTGTGTGGCTGCCTAGCAGAAGGCCTCCCCTCTTGCTGGACCAAGCTCACGACTTTTCACGTCTTCCACAACTGGCAAATGCAACTGGCCTTCAGCCAACTGAATTAAAAAGGTGGCGTGGGGCACATCAGCTGTGGGACTGCTCAACACCAGCCTTAGAGAAGTGGAAGTCCCACCAAATGCTTTCCATTCTGCTACTCCAATTACAACCTGCCTGGTGTGGGAGAGATGACAGGACAGCGGGAAATTCCAATAGCCCAGTACTCCAGCACACCTCAAAAGGCAGCTAAGAACACATTGAACAACACAGGAACATTAAAATCCATCAAGGGACAGCCACCTCACACTAGGACAGATAGGAAGTAGTCAAACTCTTCTACAAGCTACAAGGGAGGACGATTCCAAACAAGAAAGAATATTCCAGTTCATTATATTAAAAGGAGGGAAGGGATAAAAGTAGCTAATTTTAAGATCTCTTTCAGTAGGAGTCATAACAGATATTTTGTAAGCTTTTGCTATCTTCCAACTGCTTTAAAAGAAACCTCAACTTCATGTTGAGAAAAGCTCACTCCTTACAATTTGCTCTTGTCCTTAAACCATGCAGTTAAACCGAAGGCATATCCAACACCTCATCACAGGAAAAACTTTAGCTTGAACTTCCAAGCAAGTTGCTCACTTTTACTTGCTTTTGCTGAGCCCATCCCTCCTCGTACCCTAGACTTCTGTGAGAGAAGCTTCCTTTCCAGAAGCCCTGTTAACTTCTAGCACTGACCCCGACAGCGCAGGCCCTGTCCATTAGGTGGGACCTATGGACGGTACCAAGATCTGTCTGCCAGATGGACGAGGAGATCTGCACACCACTATCTTCCCACAACGTTACTAAAACACAGCAGTGAACAAGGCCAGAGTAACAGCCTGAAGGACACTACGGAGTTTAAAAACAAACAGGCAGGGCAAGGCAACGATAACAGTGTTTAATTTGGCGTTTATGGAAAACAACCGTCTGAGCTTCACTTCCAGGGTTAAAGGCCTCTCGAGAAACAGACTTCCTACACCAGAAGAAACTTTTCGGAAGTCGTATATTTATAAAGTACAAGACCATTTTAATCAACAGAAGTAGCTAATGATGATGAGATCTGGAAAGCAGCTTTTATATTGCAAGTTCAGTAGTCCTACCTTGCTCCCCCACATGAGATGGGGCTCATTTGGTCTTTTTTTTTTTTTTTTTTGAGGGAAGGAGGGGGGAGAAAAGGGAAGAGGGGGAAGGAGAGTGTGGGGAGAAAGGGAGGTTTTACTACAGCATTTAAAAGTTAGTAGCTAATCCTATTTATTATAAGGCTAAATCCACCAAAAACATATAAGACAGGAGACTTCTATCACAACTGAGTTAGTTGCTTTCACCACAGGAACACACTCCTTACAGAACTTCCACTCTACATGTTTCTGTTTAGAAGTCACCAAACACTCAAGGATACACAGGAAATTTCTGGAGGTTCAAAAGAAGGCAAACAATTCTAACAGCCTTGCCTATACACCATCGGTACCCCATGCACCTGGCATTTAATTTGCTCTAATGTTGGAACAGACTTTCTCTTAATCTTATCACTGTATAAATTCCTTTATTCGCAGAATCATTCCCAAGAGCACGATGTTTAAAAAAAAAAAAAAAAGAAAGAAAGAAAAAAGGGGAAAAAAAAAGCTAAAAGATGACATCGGATGCCCAAGGCTATAAATGGATACCTTAACATAAAACTATTATGCTCTGTTACAGGTCAAGTTAACAAAAGAAGTCAGCACACATAGTTAGATTTCTTCTTTACATCAAAATTTCTACAAAATAGGAGAGAATACAATGCAATACACGAGTCCATAAATGCAAGATACAGTACAATTCACACTAATTTACAAATGGTTATTTACACTGTTGTATATACATTTACAGTCAGACCTGGTTAATGTGAATCTGATAATTCCTTTCAAAATGCAAATCAAAACTGCAAATGAGGGAATTTCAAGTTATGCAAGCTCAAATTAGTTATCATTTAGAGATCTTTAATGCTTAAAGAAATTAGACGCAGATTAACCAGGCCTGACTGCAGAAATGAGAAGAAAAAAATTCACACTGTTCTGCTTTACAAAAGCAACCAGGCCACTGTGGTCTATTGACTTGATGCTATTTATGCATGAATGCCATTACTAACAGTCCTCTTCATATTTACAATATAGGTTTAACTACAGAAAGAACCGTTAATTTTGGCATTCGCGCCCTTAGCTTAACATAAAGGCAACAGAGTATCTTCTTGGCAAGTCACAGTCAGAACTAAGGGATGTTTCTAGAGCTCAGTCATTTTTTTTGTCCTTCTTCAAGTATCTTAAAGTTGCTATAAGACTGAGAGAGAAATGAACTGAAGCAAGTACACGTTTTCTAGTTTGGTGCTTTAGTACCTAACTTACATTCAGGATGTCCTGTATTCACAGTTTCAAGCTAGCTTATATCCTGCTACGCCGTCTCACGCTACCGCTTCAACCTTAGCGCGCCTGCAGATATTCGTGAGCAAGGGAGAATACCCAGGGGCTACTGGTTGTAACCGAGGTGGAGCAAGACTCAGGGTAACTGGCATTTCACTCTGGATGGAGTTTTGCAGTATTTCCGCAGAACAACTTGAATGAGGAATTGTTTTAATCCGTACTTGTCTCGGAAGAAAGCTGATGCAAAGCAGTATTTACGTGTGTAGAATGAATTTCAACATGCAACATGAAAGCCCCTATCGCTACTGCAAAGTCCACCACTGGAACCTGTGATAGTCCTTGTGCTTCTTCAAAGTGGCTCAGGAAAAGCTTGCAGTATCTACTGTCTGCTTCAAAGTGCTTGCATGGCATTCAGTGGAACCTGACTACTCCACAAAATGAGGCGAGCTGCACTCATATGAGGAGCTTTGGTTCTGCAGGAGCGCGTTTCCACCCTTAGAGAGTTTATTGCTACTTATGCTGTATAAACAAACACTACTGAAAAAAAATGACACTGACTCCAAGCTTAAAATAGTCCTGGTACATCTATAAAAAATATGGATCACCAACAGTTGGGAAAGTTAAAACAGCATCCTGAAGTGCTGGATTTCCCAAGACTTTTTTTTGAATGTCACAGCCTCTTTCAAGTATTTTATGAATACAAAGCAAAACTGCCAGAAAAAGTCACCACTTGAAGAAAACAGTTATCGAGTTCTAAAACACTAGCAAATTTACTTCCAAAGAGATCTTCCTAAACTTAAAGTGGACTATAAAGAAAGCAAGGACATGAGCTTGTTGATCACATCTACAAGGAGGAAAAAAAAAAGAACAAAGTAAATGTCTTCAGTGCCTTTTCATGAGCTCTAGCAACATCCTTGCTGACTGCTACAGAAGGAAAATATATCATTTTTATCTATTTGTTTCTATTTAGCTAACAAGAGAATTTGCCCCATAGCTTTAAACTAGCAAATGCTAAAAAAGGATAAACTATTACCTAATTTCAAGTTAAAAAAAAAAAATCCAAATTCTCTCAAAAAAGGAGACATTCAGAGATGAATATAAACCAGTTAAGACCAAAAAAAAAAAAAAAAACTTGCTTTTGTAAAATACCAGAAGGCCATTCAAAATGGTCTTTCAAGGTGAAAATTTTTCACTCACATCAATTGCGTTCTTTGTCCTGAATGAATCCAAGCTCTTGTAAAGCACAGATATATGTATGCGTATAGATGTACACATATGTATCCATACCCATATATGTATACGTATGTATATGCACGCACACACGTATGACAACGTGCTGTAAAGCAACTTTGAATAAATACCTTTCTTGGAGTCTGTACAAAAGGCTCCCCACAATATTTACTCTTCAGGTAAGTTTGTGTTCACTTGTGTGTATATGCAACACACAGACTTTGTACATGTGGGCACTTAAATGACCAAAGTGCAAAGTTTTTTCAGAGTATCATCAGGGTCCAGTATAGTCTGCCCAACTCCACACTGGGAGTTAGTTTTTGTTTTTGAGATTTAAAGCCTCTTTTCCGCTCCTAAACTTATTCATTATTTTGCTAAGTAAACATTTTACTTTCAGTTCACATTTTGTAAATCCAGATCACTCTTGGTATAATAGCTTTAAGAAATAAGGAAATAGTAAGTGTGAGATGCTCAAAGCTCCACTGTTCAAACCCTACATGTTTCCATACTGTCTTTTGAACTGGAGACTTTGAAAAGCGATTCGCTACCACAGACTAAGAGATAGAACATACCAGAACCTGCAACTACAAGACCAAGCATTTAAGACTAGGATCCAAGGTTAAAAGATGACAAAATAGAAGAAAAGACATCGTCAACACATGAACTGTAAACCTAAGTGTCTTGCTCCCCAGTGCAACAGGATCTCTGCTTACTAATCTTCAGTTCAATAGTCCATTCCGTTCGATACTGCTGAAGTACATCGAACACAGAGACCAGAATAGTGTTCACCTCTGCATCAAGTTTGAACATGGAATACAGATTTTGGAATAGTGGTCTCAAAGTACTTAATAAACAAGCAGCTTTCCCACAAAAGTTAATGATGGTACAGCTTCCATCTAACACTGTGACAGTTCACATCCTCAGAGAATCTGACAGCCACAGAACTTTCACATTTTTACAGCTTAACATACCAAGAAGGAAAATCAAAATGTCATTCACCATTTCGGCAAACAGGTTGATTCTTATACAACAGAGAAATACCGCAAGATGGAAAACTACATTTTTTTGATCCTCCCAGGCCTCTCTGCCCCACTACTGCATGTTGGTCATCAGTGTTTTTGGAGTATATTACCAGTGATATTTTGCTCGTATAGATCTAAAAGACTCATATACTCTGACCATGTAGCTCTCTAATATAAGTTAACACAACTTCAATAAAATAAGTTGTTAAACAAATCCTTTGGAACAACTTCACTGTTTGCACCCAACTTTCACAAAAACTGATGAAAGCAGCAATGGAATCATGTTAAACTTATAATAAATAATTCACATACAACATATGTTAAATTACAAAAACAGGATTAAATTGCCATTTCTACAACCTTTTATAGATTTAGCAAGTTTCTAATCCATTTTTTTTTTTATCAACAGCAGTAGGTATGCTCCTCATATTAACATTGAAGGACTGTTTAGAGGCATTATTTATAAAGCAAGATCCACCAAGTGAGCATTAAAAGAACTTTAACAAATGTTTAGCTTTTTTTCCAGTATCTGTTCTCAGAAGGTTCAGGGGTTGTCTATCCACTTGGTAAGTTTCCTCCTCTTCATTACTCAGGAAGAGTTAATGTCATGACCTCCAGCTTCATTTTGAAATACTGGTTAAAACGAACAATTGCATACCTAACCAAAGGGAGACAGAGAGATTCAGTTAAGAGCAGGTAATTCCTTACACAAATAGAGCCCTACGAGGGCTAATCAGAAGCGCACCTAACCCAGCACCTTCCAGAGCAGCTGCTGAGGGAAAAAATCAAAGGTCTGAGCAATCACACTGTGGTAAATCCTCACAACACTCGCCCAGTTTGCTTTGTTTGGAGAGGAGCTAATGCCAGGGGTTATCAGAGGTGGTGAATGGGCAGCTGTACTTAAATGAGCTCAGGCTTTGGGGACTGCAAGAACGCTCTTTCAAAACCAGTTTAGAAACTGCAACAAAATGTACTGTTCCCTTCCACGCTGTCCTTTATCTTGTTTTTTTGTGCCACCTAGTGGTTCATAACACGTAGTTCTACTTGAAACTGAGTAAGTCACAAAGCTAGCGGTAGGGGTGGATGGGCAAGCCAATTTCCTAAACTAACTCTTTTTTTTAAAAACACAATTCAGCCTAGCAATCTGCCTCAGTCATTCATTACAAAATTTAAAAAAAAATCTAAGCTGAGGCCAAGCCTTATACTAAGAGAAGGTGATTAATTTTCATCCCCTTTTCCAGTCCTCAATGGACAAATTCTGCCTTCTCTGATAAAAGATTAAGGGAAAACATGCCAAGACGTACATTCACCTGAAAGGAATCATCAACTAGTCTATCTCCAAATAGAATCAAGTATTCATTAGCATTATGGAGATTCCTTAGAAAGGAGAAGGGGTAGGAACTTCTCAAATCAACTCCCAGAAGTTTTCTCTTAAAAAAAAATAATAATAGTAATAATAATTAAAAAAACACAGTAGGGTCACACAGGACAGGTCTGCTGTTTTCTGATACTTGGGAGACTATGCAATTTACAGAATTCTCTTCCATCCTCAACTATTCTGTGACTCTTATGAAATGCAGTAACAAAACAAAACGAAAGGGTGGGTGGAATCCACAGGTCCCTATGTGGGAAGCATACAGCATACTTACCCTAAGAAATCAAAATCGATGGTAGAATATTTGGCTTGAATTAAAGCCCACAATCCCCAGAAGAAGTGTGATGCCTAAAGGAAAAAGTTAGTAGCAACAGATTAGCACTATATAAAAACAAACATATATTCTAGCATAGAGAAAAAAAAATCTACAGGATATCAAAAAATTATCAAATCCTTTGTAAATCTGTGTCTACTGTGTCAGAACTTTTTCAATAAGCAATACAGATTTAATTACTGGCAATCAGACTGTCTCCTTAGGTCTCTTGACTCCGCGAGTTTCCTCTCCAAGAAAGATACTGTTATAATTGTTAAAATTGTTGATCAATCTAGCACAGTGTTGTGCAATTATATAGCTGTGTTAAAAAAGTGTTTGGGAATAATTCTACTTAGTTTCCACTGCTATCAATTAAACAATTTTTACTAGTATTGTTCTTCACATATCATGTATCTTCACAACATGTGTGTGTGTGCACACACACATGTATGTATTTAGATCAGCAAAGCCCTTTTTGATTCTTTGGGCATACCCTTAGATTTACACCTTACTTCTTTGGATGAAGCCTTTGCCACTGACTTGGACAGGGATACTAAGTCATTAGCATTTACAAAAATTTCTCATCTCTTCCAACCTTACCTGCTTTTCCAATCCAAAGATGTAGCCTGCGTGTACTGTTCAGACTGAAACTATAACTTATATAGCTATTGATATACTTCAGTAAACTTTGGAACGTATATATACATGTGTGTACAAATATATATATATTTGTGTATGTGTACAAATACACACACACACACACACACGCACTGGCCATAGCTGGATAATCTCCGTGTGAAAGATGCATTTCATTTCTGGACCACCCATATTACAAACAATCCATTTCAGACTTCTGTAGATAGCTGCTTAGAGTAACTACCTAAATTGCTTCTTGAAGCTTGCATTTAACAGCATTGTACTTAAATGTGCATCTTGACCAGACACAGACAACATATACATGCACACAAACACACACCTGAAAACATACCTTAAACTGCAACTCCCCTATGCATTTGCGTGTGTGAATCTCTTCTCTACCTTTAGTTTTTATTAACTCCATCTGATGGCAAGCAGCTTGTAGTTTTATACCAGTATTATTTCATTTTTGTCTGTTTTCTCGTAATAAAACCTCCAGCTTTAAATAACATTATATCTTGTGTTTGGCTGTATTTGTACATTCTGTGTGGTCTAGTTCCAAACAGAATTCTATCCTCTTAAACATTACTATGAACATAGCTTAGAACTGACAAACAATATCGAATTTTTAACACAGACCACCAGCCTAAATAACTGCAAATCTAACTTTCCCAAGTGAACAGGACAGCTGAATTTTACAGTAACAGCTGGTAATATAAATCCACAGAGTAACAGCAAACAAGACGGTATTTTCTTGTTTAAGAAAAATCAAATTTTTTTAGTAAGTCGCCTTGCTAGAAATCAAGTTATTTTCTCACCATAGCCATTAGCTTTTTGCCAGAAAACTAAAGCCATTATGTTAATTATGGTGCATACTTGCATAGTCAGAAAGAGGACTAAAACAAGGGCATTTTGGCTTCTTCGCCACAGTCCTCCCACGCAGAGTTTGGGATTTTATGCTTTAGTTTTATCTTATTTTGCTTTTTTACTACCTATCTGCTCGATAAAAGGTAGTTTTGTTGTAACACTTCATGTTCCATCTCTCAGGCAAAACATCATCAAGGCTAGTTCAAAAAACGAACAAAGATAGCGTGAGTCTGCAAGTAACTCTGGAAATAATGCAAAGATATGTTTTCAGTAACTCCTGGAAAAGCAGACAGGCAGCTTCAAGTTATTTCTAACAGTGTGTATACATATTATGCCTGTATCTCTCTGTATCTTTCTCTCTCTACATATATAGCAGGGGTTCTCAATGATTAAATGTCACATCTGTTTCACTTATTCATAAACTGTATTTGACTGTGTCTTTTAAGAAAAAAAAAGTATTTATATATCCAACAAGACAGCAAAATCATACTGAATTCTCTGAAGAGAGCTCAAAAACCTGCTCAGTCTTTTCAAAGGGACAAGATTGGAGAGCAGAGGTTTTAGATCCAGAATCTACGACTGACCAATAGAGCAGAGAGTCCTTAGAGCACACAGGGCAGGAGGAGCAGCGGGTGGACCCACCCAGCCAGGTCTTAGGCTCCAGGTACCTTCCTAGGAAGCACAGGGCAAAACACAAGCAATTTTGCTGCAATTTACGTCATGGAAGTGACTGAAACCCGGCCTGGAAGCAGCTCTGGGTCTGCCAAGACACTGCAGGCAGAGCAGCTGAGACAGTACTGAAAGACTCAAAGGTGACCAAGTTATCTTTAGAAAAACTAAGCATCTTAGTTGTATTCTTTAAAAAATAAAGAAGCTTTTATATTCCTAAGTGCTATAGGTCTTTATGGATCACTGCCTTCCTCTTCTGTTTCCTTACAAGTCAAATGCACACCCTACCAAAGCGCTGTGGACAACTTGGGGATCTGTCGCACTAATGAACAGCTGAAGAAAATACTTGCTCCTTATTGCCAGATACTGACTGCAGTATCAAAACACTGATACCCTTTGCTTGGAAGAGTCTACACAAGAATCATAACACACCAAAGTTGTGAGGCAAAGTTACTTGCTACCCTCTTGTCATAAACTCTGATGACTTTCTGGCATAAACATCGAAGAGGGTGGTGGTATTGTGCTTTTAGTCTAAAATCCAGACACCCAGCATTAAAACAAATCCAAATCCTATTTCTTCTTAGAAGGCTTGGCACAAGTACTACATGCTCCATACATGAAATAATCTTAAAAATGAACTGGTAACTTTTATGTGAAGCAACAGTAATGGTGGCCCGATAAAAGTGAAAAAAGGGAGATCCTTTGACAGCCATATTAGAAGAGGAAAACCCAAGAACTCAAATTCTCTGATCCTTGGTTCTCTCTCTCCCTCATGCTCGTCTCTCTCCCACCCCTCTCACCCCCCAATTTTTTCATACAGTGGTCAGCTGGACTAGAGACTTTAAGAACTTGCCATAATAGAGAACTTTACTAGCTCATTAAGACAGCCATCAAGGCCCAGGATACAGCCTTATTTTCTCCCTGACAATGGGGAATGGCATCAATCTCATTAAACTGACACAATGCTTGACCTGAGCCTTTTCAAGGAAAATCAACCTTAGGAGAAAGGTCAAGGGGAGCAGAAGGAGAATGGTCACACACAGGAAAAGCACATCTTGCTGCACCAAGAGTCCATGGGCATATTTAAGTTGCTCAAAAATGACTTTGTCTAGGAAATTAAGTCATAGCATATAATTGTATGTGGGCTAGCATTATCTGTCTCTTAAGAGATGAAACGGGATCTGAGTGAGCACTTGATGCACATGTGAGCAGCATTTGGGGAACAAGCATGGGTGCCATCTAAAAAGTGAGAGTAAAAAGTAAGCTCAGAATTTAAATAAAATGGTTAAGGAAGTTTTTCTTCATATACACAGCACACTGTGTAAGAAATTGGCAATCACATTTGTCTATAAAATAGCAGGCTTGTCTATGGTATTTGATATGTTTTAATTCACAAATATTTACCAGTGCAAACTGATTGACTTGAACATAAAGAACTTCAACCTCCTTCTCACTGACTTCTGTACCAAATCCTTTGTATTCTTTATAGGCCTCGAGGTAAGATCTCAGCCACTGTTCCTGTAACTCTCTGTTGGGGTAAAGGCTGTAGTCTACTTCATTTACTCCTAGAAAAGAAGAAAAATTCCTGTCAGGATTTCACAGCATCACCATAATAAAATCCATGCACACAGAACCACAGAAGTCAAATACTTCTGTGGACAAACATAAACATTTGCATATTTACTCTGAGCTGATTTTATTAGTTACAGATTGGCAAGAATTTCTTACACAGGATTCAAATTAGAAAGAATTATCTTGTATATATTTGCAGCCACACACATACTTTATTTATTAAACTTGCAAATTCAGCAAGTTTAATATTGATGGCAGCATCTGCACTGTGAAACAAAAGCCTCCCACACATGTCAAGTATTAATGCATTTCATATAAAAAGGGACTTAATGACAATATTATCCAAAGCAGAATGCAATGATATACATATCGTCACTGATTAAGCTCATGTTTCCAAGACAGAAGCTTTACAAAAACTCTCTCTCCCCTCCACAGGGCACTGGTAGCATTAGAACTCTCATCTCTGCAGCCAACCTTTCGGTCCTACTTTTCCTTTAAAGCATAAAGCTCAAAACCTACCTAACTGCAGATGCTCAGCCAAGGCCATGTGCAGTTTGATCGAATTCCCAATCCTGGATCAAAGTTCATGCCCCCCCCGCCCCCGGCTATTCTTTCCGGAGGATTTAAGATTGTATCTTGTCTACAAGGCTGGATAAAAGCTTTTCTGCTTTCAATAATGTGCTTTTAGCCATCCCAGGGCCCCTCTGCTTTGTCTCCCTCCTATTATTTCACTGTGTGATGTGGAAGCACCACACGCTTTCTCAGGAACATTGTGCTTAATAACGTGCATGTGTCATCAGCACTGTTATATGAGGCACAAAGTACTATTTATAAACACTGGAGGCCTTGAACACTTGAACTCTTTCCTGAAAGCAAACAAACAACAACAAAAAAGCCAGATTTGTGCTTGAGCTTTGCCATTCCCTACTCATGTGGTACAGTTGTTTGGCAGAAGCAAAAGCAATATATATTTCTTATTTGTGTGCAGAATCTTCTTAGGGTACTTACCTCTTAAAAGACTTGCTTGGACATTAAAGAGATAACAAATCAAAAAAAAAAAAGCATTTTAAAAGAACTTAATACATAATATATAAATAAATCTAAGGGCAACATAAGCCTGCAGAAGTAACATGAATGCATTCTGATACTATCAGATGAGCAGCTACACATACAGATATAGACAGGAAGATACATATACATGTATGCATACAGTGTGTGAGGTACAGCAATACGCATCGTTTTGTTACCAAGTTAATCTTCACCTTGAAAATCCACATTTTTACCTGCAAATTCATTGAAGTGATTCCCAATGTCATAAGCCAAGTAGTTGTATCCAGAGTACTCATAGTCTATGAACTGTACATCACCTATGTGAGACACAACGACAGCAACATCAGAATCAGCATCAAAGAAGCCAGAGCCCTAATTCCTTGGTGCCTTTGAAATTATCTCTGCTTAGTTGTGTGTACTCAAACATTCCAGGGTAAGGCTGTGAATTTTATGATACAAGATTATCCTCAACATTCACTAGAGAAAGTTCTTAAATAACTACCTAGAGCTTACAATACACTTATTTTTAAACTATGAATAGAAGAAGTTTGATTTTAACTTCTACCACATGAGGGCATCTGTTGCCTTCAGAACAAGAAATGCCATAGAGGATCCATTACCCAAATCTTAACTAAAGTATTTTTCCCCCCAACATAAATAGCAGCCCTGCTTATTTTCTCACAAACATGTAGCCAAGATGGATTAACAGGTTGTAGTTTGTTGATATTATCCCACAACCAACCATACTTATAACTTAAGAACAATATTGCTTTTTTTTATTATTATTATTTTTACTAAGTCAAAAGAAAGTGACAGAAAATGCTCGAATGTTTGAATGCAGGTACTTTCATGTACAGCAACATGCCCCATATGCTTCCAAATTACTTTTACTACACAGTGTTTACCAGCAGGGAAGCAGGGGAAAGTGCAGGAGAAAGTCATTCAAGGTGGTAGAGACCTGAACATTCACAGGAAGGTCTGTATCACTGCAAAGCCGGAATAATTAAACTAAATGTCTTGTATTTCAAGAGAAACAGAGAAATTACTGAAAACATCAGAAAGGGAAGTGAGGGGTAACTTAAGAGTTGTTCGCAGTAGAAATCTAAAATATGTATAGAAATTGCAATCTTGTATTTCCCACTGTTATGCTACAAGGAATAGACTTCATAGTCTGCACTACTCCCTCTCTACGCTTTACTTTTATTGACTATCTGCATGAATATCCCCATATTTATTCAATAAACACATATACTCCTCCTATTAAAATGAATAGCCTTATTCATGCAACTTAAAACATCTTACAAAGAATAACGTTAATGACCGCACCTTCAGGTCAAAAAAGCAAGAATAAACTTGAACTACATTAACTATTTCCTGGACTGTAAGGATTGTAACAGAACTCTAATGCAGTACTCGCTAAAAAGATTCATGGATATTGCACCTACCAAATACAATAGCTTTGCCACAGGGAAATGTCCCAAGCAAGTTATCACAGGACAACTGCAGCAGTTTCTCATATCTATGCAGTTCATCTTCTTCAGCATGTTTGAAACATTACCCCATTTGTGTTTTTCATGTTTTTATGTGTATTCATCTTAAGTAAGTGCTTAAAAGGGAAATTAAACCCCACAACATGAACAGAACAACTTAGTCACAATCCTCCAACTCTGAGTTTGCTCTGTCCTCCACAGAAAGGGAGGATTGTGCACCAAGCTTATGAGGTTAAACATATTAGGCTCTGACAAACCAACACGGGACTGACCTGCAAAGTAGCAAGCTGCTCCCAGGGAAATCTTGTTGGCAGTACAAAATTCAGGTTCTCTAGAACACTAAAGCAATTTTACAACAGCTGCAGCCAAGATCTTATGAGACAGTCACAGTTTTAACTTCTCCTGCTACTTGACTGACACATTCATACACTTTTATGTTTTCTTACTGGTTCTTTAGCTTGTGTTTACTTTAAACAAACATGCAAGTTACAAGCCAGTAAAATTACACCGCCCAACCCTGATTCGTATTCTGCTACACAGCCGAACTACTAAATCCCTCCCCAATCATTTAATACTGTTTGTATTCAGAGTTTCTCAAGTAAAATATAAATCTGTCTAGAAAATATCAAAATATACACTTCAAATTAAATGTTAAACTTGGGCATTAAAATAATTTGAACACATTGATAATATCTGTATGGTTTTTTTTTTTTTTTAAATACAGTTATCCCTTAGATCTTATTTCCAGACATAGTTAATTATATTCTAAATTAAGAAATTCAAGCTAACAAAGTACATGAGAGGCTGTTACCAGGCTCTGCGCTCTCCTATGGGGAGGTGCATGTGAACAAATGGTGCGACAAACCTCCAGGCAGTGTGTTTTAGTAGCACGGTGCACACCACCACGGGGCAGCGACAGGGGCATAGTTAATCTGTAGCAGATGAAGAAAATTTGGCAAACTCGTATTTGGCAAAACAAAACTTTAAAGTGAAAAAGTCTGGCATTTTTGCTGCTCTCTTCCAGGCCCACGCTCTTCAACTTTAAGTTTAAATTTTGGCATGAAACAGATTAGAGATGCAAGAGGCTTCCACGAAGAAACTTTGCATTAAATGTCAAAATGTCCACACCGCTAGAAGCTACTTTTAAGACAATCTGCAATTCGTAGAGGAAAGCTACTTCAAAAAAATATGGTTTACACTGGTAGATAATCAGCTAGCTTTTGTTTTATAGTAGTATAAAGAACCTGTTACATTACATCAAAATCACTAGGAGCAGGCAGACCAACAACAGACGCTAAATAGAAGCACATTTATTTTATGAAGTCAAAGGGTAGTTAGAACTACACACTCTCATATCTCTGGACAAACTATTTTCATAAACAGCAACAAAATGTTCAAACATTCTTAATATCTTAAAGTTGAAAAGAATTTATTTTACCAAGTCTTCTATTCCTGTAGAGAACATAAAATGTAATGGTTGTCACTACTTAAAGATACAAACTGCAGCCATATTGCACTTCACATCTGAAACCCGTTTTTAAAATATCAAAAGAAGTAACGAAGAGGGCATCTGCTGCATCTCTTTGGAGAACTGAAAGGCAGGAAGGTGCTGTGCCTCGTCTTTCTAAGTGCTCTTGATTTTCCATGTGCAAGTCCTGGCAGGAGTTATCACAAGAGAAACACAAATCCCAAGCTCTCCTATCCTGCTTATGATGTAAACCAAAGAGGTCCTACAATAGAGCTTCATTAAAGAGAATGATCTAGGCTATGGACATACTAAAAAGAAAGAAAAAACAACAAAAAAAGGCTACATACCCAAGAAATAATAATTTTAGCTATGAGTATCCAATATACCTTTGCAAAATAACATAGGTTTTAGAGCAAAACCAGAAGCCTTAAACATACCTCAGTCTTCAGAAGCACTGAGCACCCACAGACTCCTACCAAAGATCATAGAAAACATTGGGTGGGCAGAAGGTAGGAATAAAACAACATCAGCCATCTACCTACACTCTGAATTACCTGGCAGATATTTTTAATACATTTAAAAATGTATTAACCCAGAGCACAGATAGATACAGAAGGGAGAAAAAAAAAAAAAAAGATACTTCTGATACTTTGTCTTGCTGAACAGCAAGCATTTGAAATACTCTTAAGGCATCAGGTATCTTTCAAACCTCCCAGCACAAGTTTAAAAAAAGCCCAGCGATCATCACAAGGTCTATACATATATAAATAATATCAAGAAGTAAGCAGGCTATTTTGATGTTCAAAATGTAATTAACAGCACAAAGAAGCTCTGGGGTTTCTTTGAAAAGCCATTTATACTCATAAGCCATGAAAAGTAACACTTGCTAATTTTCATATCCTGAGTGCCTTGCAACAGACATTAGCAAAGCAGCAAGGGGCACAAGTTCTCCAAGCTGCAGCGCGAGCAAATTCAAGTCAGATGAGTGACACACTCCACTAAATAAAGGCATCACTCAACAGGATATTCCAGTCTTTTTAAAATAGCTTAAGGACACAAGGCTGACTCTTCTAAAAAACAATTATGTGGCACAATGTTTCTTCTTGCAACTTAACATGAACTTAATTTGGAGGACAAATCTAAAGCAAAGCAGGGGACAAGCCATAACAACCATTTTACCTTCATGAGACCGGAGCTCTTGTGTCTGTTGCCAGCCTGTAGCTATGTTTTTTTCCATGCCTACTCTTAAGCAGTTTGTTCTCAAACAACATTATGGATGAAGTGTTAAAATCAGTAACTACTAATATTATTTTGTTTGTGCCAGTAAGATGAAGACTACCTGCTTTGATCAAACCCTACTGAGTAAAAGGGAGGGAAAAAAATAGTATTTCATCTAAAATACTGCTTATTCCTCTCAGCTCTGGTTTAGGGTCAACAGGATCTCTCTCATACACAGGAACCTTTCCAGACTTTCCAGACGAATCAGTCAAATTTATTAAGATCTCTGCAACACCAAAGCTGTTACTTCAAACAGTTAGAAGCCAAACGTAACGTGCAAGCTTTAAAGATGATATTTTCTGCACTTGCAGAGTTACTTGCATACTAATATAAAATGTTCCATTACTAAATATGAATTGTTTGAATTCTGTTTAATTACAGTGATGGTTGAACTTCCACTTCAAAAACTGTGTTCCACATCTTAAGATTACACTGAGAAACAGAAGGGTAGTCTTGGTTCTGTAAGCACAGTACAAGAAATGGGTTTCTGTAGGACAATTACTCTACCTCTACCTAGGTTGAGGTTTGATTACTCCAGGAATGATACCTGCTGGACCGGGACTGCAGGTTCAAGTTTTACAGTACAGGATACATGTGCAACACGTAAGCATGTAAGTTTAACAGTCTCCCTACATTAATATTTCCAAGGCTTTTTCCCAGTTGTTTATAGCTAGCTTGAGGCCAAAGTGCTTTACACACCTTCCTCCTCCCCACCCTGTCCCCAAACACTAAACACTCACACACAGGTTATGTAGGATTGCTCATAAGTGATGCACTGCTGGCATTGTTTTTTCCTCCATTCTGTTTGTAAAAAGAAAAGCACACAGCATTTGCAACTTTAAACCTATTGACCATGACAGCGAGTCTTTTAAAAGAAATCCTCGTGTTTTATTTTGAAGTGCGGTTCTACTATAAAAAAGAACCTCACATACTGGAAAGACCACAAGCAGATTTTTTTCTTCATTAGGTAGAACTGTAATCTACAGCTGGACCTAAAAAAAAAATGCTGCAGCTATATAACTAGAAGTGCCATCAACTGCCTTCCCTTGAAAAATGGAGTCGCTCAGATGGAAGGTCTAAAAGACAGTGTATGTGCGTGTCTGTCTGATGTACAGAGTGGTTATACACAGAGCCAATTTTCATGTGAGAAGCAACTCCAGCATTTTGTTAACTTTGATTTAGAATTTAAGACACAAACGCTGAAGAGCTCAAGCGACCAGTGATGACTGAGGAAGAACACTTCAGTTCCATCCGAAGTACCTGGATGAATTTGTTGCCCTAGCTTGGATATTTAAGTGGAAGAAAAGAGCAGATAAACTAGAAAAGTAGGTATTTTTCCTGCACCAAATCAATTTCAGCATCTTAAGTTGGCTTTGTGTTTCTATATAAATACCCTTTGCTTCATTTAGTAACCAAGCCTCAAACCACTAAAATCAAGCAATAAAAAAAAGATATCGTGGGTTTCAACAGAAACTAGAGAGCTTCATCTTTAATAAAAATGAATTATGAGTTCAGCTTACTGTAATATAATAAAAACAAAAATGTAATTCATCTTTGCCAAGATGTGTACTGCCTACAGCAGTTAAAAGAGAACATATATTTACAAAAGAAACCTTCAACATTAAGATGTCCACGTATCTCATACAGAATAGAAATCAAACCACTGAATGTAGTGCCAAGTATCCCTAGGATGCTCCATCACACAGATCTCTTCCTTGAAAACACCATGGTCTGACAAACCAGAACAGTACAGAGACAAAGAGCTTCAGGTTATTTTCTATGCTTACAAGATCCTCCCTGCCCTCCCTGGCCCCCTACCAACGCCCCTCCCTCCCAAAGTCTGCACACTAGAATAGATTTACTGGAAACAGCTGCATACTTTGAAGCCTTCAGTCCTAAAGGCAGGCTACATATTAACAAATTCATTAAGGAGAAAGCAAGAACGCCAAGATTTTTCTTTATATGATAGCATATAGATGTGAATTAATTAATTAAGCGAACAATTATTTACACTAATACTACCACTACAGTGAATTTTACAATGTCAGAGTTTCACTTGTGGTTATCAGTGAAATAACATGACCAACTTAGCAAATACAATTACAGAACAAAGCAAAATAAGCCAATACTTACTGCTTTGTTCAATACCTACCTCGTTTCTTGTTGTAAATAATATTCTTACACAAGAGGTCATTGTGACAGAGTACCACTGGCGAGCCTAAATTTGACAATCTTTCCTTCATCCAGGCCATCTCTTCCTGAAGGACTTGAGGACTTGGAATGTCGCTTAAAAACCTTTTTCGACAAAAGAGATCTGTATTTAGCACTGGGCTCCACAGCAAACAGTTGCAATGAAATAGCTTTGGTATTATCCTCTATCCTCTTATTTCCAAGAAATCAATGAAACCTTCTCTTAGACTAGGACACTATTTTCCCTGCCTCTACTTGAGTCAATTCATGACGACTATTCCCTTCTTACTACCCAAAAAACATTTTCTGAAGACTGTCTGTGCTGTGAACCATAGTAGTCCAAAACTGAGAAGCAGGACTGAAGGAAATTCTCCACATTTTCAAATACTATAGATTAAAATGGGTGAAGCAACATTTTCACTTATTGCTTAAAACATTACATTCTTTCTTTAAATAATTACTAAATTTTTAAATACATATATCTATACAAATAAAAGTATCATTTTTTTTCCTCTAGTACAGGAAAACACTCCAATAGTTGTTTTATGTTTCAGATTTTCCATTAGTTACTTAAATTTTTCAGTTTTCTTGAGAATTTCAGCTAGTAGAAGAAAGTTAAATAAAGTAACTTTGCTAATGGATTTCTTAACTGAAGTGCAACAAATAGAGCAATGGGCATCAGTATATTTCAAGAAATTTAAGATTGTTTAAAGCTGGAACCTGCTTACTGAAAAGTATGGAGTTTGATGATACTGTACAAACACTTCCAAATTACAGCTTTATACCCTGATTTCCCTTTCCTTCCTGAAAAATGTGCCTTCAACTCAAGCTTTAGATTACAGAGCACAGAACCTCTATTCAGATTAAGCACTGCTCCTACTATCGTTGTTCCTCTGGCCCTAGTGACCAGGGACTCAAACTACGTCATAAATACTCTTCTCCTCCTTATCCTGGTAGGAGCAAGAAGGGTCAGGATGAAGCAGGAAAAGAGATAATAAAGAATTTACCTTTTATTTACTTCCTCATCCATAAATTCCGTAGGTATAAGAGAAAAGTATTTCCCCATCTTCAGCCAGAGGTTAGATTTAGGGATCCATCCATTGTGCGCATGAATAGTATGGATTTTAGCAAGCTGTCTGGCAATCAGTCTGAAAAAAAACACAAAGCTTGATTTAATGTTATGTTTGCAATAGAGGGGACAGTCCTTACCACATCTCTTCCTAGCAATGAGACAACAACCTGTGCAATAATGAATCCAAAGAGACTATGCACAAGGCCGGGACAAGCATCCTGCAAGACTCAAAGGTGTTTAATAGCACTACTAAAAGCTTGGCAGGGGGAGGAATGCATTAACTTGGTTACAGAAGGCACTTGAGCTGCGTTTGTTGCTACACTGTAACCTGTGCATCTTAAGAATTCACTCAAGTTAGCTGCAGTTTTTAGGCACGAAATCATTTCAGCTCATGTATGAAACGTGAACTGTTTTAAGTCTTAAAACCTTTTCAGTTCACTGCTGATAGCTTAAAAACCCCTAAGTCTCAATGGAAGACTACTTTGAATCTATTCACACAAAACAGTATACTTGAAACCAGGAGTGAGCATTCCCTTTAATCAAAAACAGCCTCCTACACTGAATCATGCACCATGTTAAATAAATAAACGTCCTGATGGTATCATGCAAGTGTAAATAAACATCTTACAATGAAGTCAACTTTAATATGAACCTTGCTGCTTCCCCTGAAGGCTACTACATACGTTCAAAACTGAAATTCCATGATAAACCAGAGGATAATGAGCTGTTATATAGTAAGCACATTATGAAATGCTCCTATGAAGTAAAATAAGCTGCCTTCCATCTACTGTCAAACTATCATTGAGATCACTTGGCCTAACACAACACCATAAATGCATAGCAGAACTTGATGAAATAAAAAAATCTTACCTGAAAATATCTGGATTGCAGACATGCTCTGGATCCAGCGCCTCTCCCTGCATGAACTCATAGCACAGGCCATTATTGAAAGTGCAGTAGAGCTGAGGGGCACAGCCATGGGCCTGCAGCACTCGGAAACTCTTCACCTCCTCATCTCGATCGACCAAGAGCTCCGTCTTATTTCCATAGATTCTGACTAGAACCACATCATCCGTTATGTCGCCCACGTAGCAGCCAATGAGTTTATTGGTGATTCCATCAGTGAACAGCTGAAAGAGAAAAAAATAATGCATGAGCTACTTAGTTCTGCATTTGTATTTTGAACGTGCAGGAGAGGGAAGAGAATACAGGGTTTCTCCACCCAAGCTCATGAAAGATGCCTCTTTACAAGACTGAGAATTAACAAAAGAAAATGGTAAGACACAGGGAAAAAGAAGACGGAGAAAAGTTCAACTGTTTTACACGTAACACATGAAGATGGACAAAGATGACACAAAAACATGCTACACTGAAATACAGAAATACTGCTGCAAAAATCAGCAACTGAAAGCTCACTACTGTGAAATAATTTTTCATATAACGCTCCAAAAATGGTATTATTAGAACGGCTGAAATAAAAGCCTGACAAGGCAGAAATCCTTTATCTTAGACAGGAAAACCTGTCTGGCACTAAGACACATCACATGAAAACAAAGTTCTGATCACACCAGCATTTGCTGATCAACAGATGAGTATAAAAGGTATTTCTGGAGTCCTACGCTACTCCTTTCAAAAACCAGAATTCACATCAGAAACTCAGTTCAAGCTCAGTGATGACCTTCCCACTGGCCTTGAGATTCTCTTGCTTGAGAATGACAAATGCTGCAGTCGCACGCCCTGACTCCACTGCAAATCTGAGACAGTGCTTCAAGAGCAACATCCCAGTTTTCAGGCTCAAATGTCATCTCAAATGTAAGAGTTTAAAGAAAAATTTTATATTATGTCATTTCACTTCACAACTAGCATGTGACATTCAAACGACAAATGCTCCGTGTCCTGATCACCAAAACACAGGAAAAGCAATTTTCAAAGCCCTGCTATTTACTTTGTCTGGATGACTAGACTATTCATTCATGACTGTACAAGCTGAAGGTGAAGCAAACTCCTCACAAGAATAAGAACACTAATTGGGTATTATATTTAAAATCTAATGACTAGCTATTCATTGCCTCCTAAGTAATAGCCAAGATACGGATCCCACAATTTGTCTTCTATGGAAAAAAACTTCTTTCAACTTTGATGACAGGGGCTAGACAGTCAATAGAGAGGTTTCACTCTAGGCGATACTATCACACAGGATGAAATACTGTGCTGCATGTGCAGAATAGCATTTAATAAAGCATTTCTAAACAGCAGTTTTCTATTCTCCTGCAATCGAGGACAGTTTTATAATTCAGAAAAGAGGTAAAACAGATCTGGAGCTTTCAAATTCTTTGCATCCCGTCAACCCAGCCTGAAGGCTTATAAACTTGCTAGCTGAGTTTAGGACACAGGGAGTATTTTGTCCTAGGCTTGTTTGGGTTACAGGAGAATTCTGTTAAAACAAGCAGAGCCTCAGAACCAATTCCAGGAGCAAGCTACAATTTGGTTGCTCTCTTAAAATAAAAGCTAGAGGCCTTCTTTTGGGAAGGCCAGTCCGCATAAGTTTTAATGCTTGCTTTAAGGCAATGCTTTCATATTTACGGAGCAACCAAATACTACACAGAGATGTGGACAAAAAGCCTGTTCTAGAAGTCACAAGTGATAAGCTGACACATATAGGATCATTCTACTTGATATAATTTGCCAATAAAATCAGATTACAAGGTGTGAGATTATTTTAAAATGGAACATATTTTTTTTGAAATAAAATCACTCCTGAATATTTATCAAAATAGCTAATTCCATTACTGCTAACACTTCTTAATAGGTATTTCAGGACATATATCTTTCACTACACAAATCTATAGTTACCTTCTTTAGAGTCAGCAAGGGGTTTTACTGATTTTTATTCCCTTTGTCTTACTAGGAATTTTCTAAGTTCTCTAAATGTCCCTAGACCCTCAAGATTAGCAGTAAAAGGTGCCAATGAACTTTCACTGCAGTTTTCACTGAAATAGAAATTAAAATAAACTTGTAGAAAGAGAGATGAACTTGTAGAGAACAGATGAAAACATCTTTTAGTCCTTCGCACAATCAGTTTATAAAAAATAAGCATGACAGTACACAGAGCCAGAATAAGACACAAGTAATATAGAATCTTTGCCCTCAACAGTTTTCATAATTAATATTGTTATGATAACTACTGCAACAGCAAGAAGAAAACTGTACCTTTTAGGTACAGGTACATCACATCTCCAGGTTTTCATATTAAATTGAATGTAAGTGTACGCTCTCTAACTCTAACCCTATCTTTAACCCTATCTTTTTCCTTGACACAAAGCAGACATTTTAAGTTTTCTCTACATACATAAGAATATTATTCCAGTATAGCATATTGGGTCACGGTAAGGATGATATGCTTGAAGAATTTTACCTTCTTTAACCAAATACAATATTTAAATGCATTTCAGGTGTGGCTGATGTGTAGTCATAAACTACATCTTCCTATTATAATGGGTCCATTCATAACTCCCCTTCCTAAGTGTATTATATACCAGCAAACAAATGGGTCAGTACTGTTCCCGTATTGCTGCATAAAAGCAGAACTGTTAACTCTCAAGAAATTTTGAAGAATTCAGCATCAAAAGGTAGAGTCATCTGCTTTTCAGAAGCCACCAAGATCAGAAATACACACCTTGCACATTATGTGTCTTAGCTAGTTTCCAATGAAGGCAATTTACTTAAGCACATGCCTAAGTGTCCAGAGGTCGGTACCAATTTGTCCAGCAATGAACCTGCAAACATATGGCATGCCAGACCTCTAATACACACACACACACACACACACACACAGCCCTTTGGCAGGAGTCCCTGCAAAAGCAGATCAACGTTACACAGCGGGAAATCTCAGCGAGGTGACTCCATATAAGACCTGTAAGTGCCCAAGCATTTCACACAGCTGGTGTCAATAGAGGTTGCCTGAGCAACCACATATCTAGTCCTGGAGCGGTGCCTTTTTCTCCCCCTCCACCCATTTTCACACTATCCAGGGTCATGCACTGGACTCCATCCCAGTCTTTGGGGTTTTGGCTCACCTACACATGCCAACACCTGGGCCAATAGTTTAGATAAAGCCATTAAAAATGCAACATTATTTTGAGTCAGCAGAATCTGAAACTGGGCAGAGACCTCAGAACAGAAATGAAACTTGCTGCAAAGCATGCTTATTTTGGAATGTCTTATCAAAATCAAAACCAGACGCATCTGAAACCCATGAGCAGCGCATCAGCTTCTGGCCACAGTTTTGCTGCCCTGAGTAGCAAGAGTAACCAAAACTATTCTACTGTTTTTCCACTCCTATTCAACCAGATAAAATAAACAGATCATATTCAGAAACACAATGAGCACCACTATGAGAAGGATTGTATCAACTCACTTGCATATCAAATGAACAAGACCATTGCCAACACATCTTAAGAACAAACAAACACCTGTCTGAGTGTAAGGAGAGGAACAAAAATCATTTTTGTAACTGCAATGCTGGAAGGCAACAGTGGAGTTCATCCTATTAATGAAAAAGGAGGGAGAAAGCCAAATAGGCAAATAAGAAGTTGTACTCAAGCACAAGTACTCAAGCATCTCTAATACTGTATGCAGTTCTAGCACACGTATACAACTCAGTAAGCAGGCACAGCCTAAATAGTAGCACTGTCCCCTTCTCGGCATGAATAAGAGGGAATAGGATGTTCATTAGAGTGCCATACTTTGGGGGAAGGAAGTGGAAACAAGAAGGAAGGTTATTTATTGAATATGAGGAGACATTTTGCGCAAGTTGAAAACATCTTGTTTGCAAGAGATAAATGAAAACTGCTAAGAAGTAGCATTAAAGTCCTCCTCCTGTCACTGCAGGATTTTCATAGAAAAGTGAAAGTCTGCTGAAGTAAGAAGGAGCAGACCCCATAAGTAACAGTATTAGTAATACTGACTGCCGGAAAAACACAAGCATAAGAAGTCCCGCCTCCCTCCCCCGCAGAAAGGAACAGCATGAACTCAATTTGCTTGAGTTACAATTACTGTTAGACAGACACCCTTCCGTCCACTGCACAGGTCTATTATTCTTTCAAAACAAGTCTCATTAGTGCTGATAAATAAAATTTACAAGAAGGAAATTGGACTCCCTCACCTGATAATTTCAGAACTCTACTTCTTATTAACATGTAATTGTAGCATGCTGCTGTAAGTAATTATTGACACCCAGGAGTCTTATTTATTGCTTCTTAGAAATGCAGAAGAATGGGCTTACTTTCCTAAAAGTATTATTCAGAACAGACAACTTCCATTAAATGATTTTTTTTTATAATGCATGTTGTCTAGTCATGTAAGATAAAAGCCTAATACTTTATTCTTTCAAGGTACCTTTCTTTCAAAGGGCTGAATTTGAAGAATCAGCTTAAAATGTCTTGCCCAAAGGTTAAAACTGAGACTCACTAGAGCAAAACAGTGACTCTGTAACAAAAGTCTCAGCAGAGCAGCATAAATAGAAAACAAACTCTCACTACAGGGATGAGGAGAAAAAAAAATGGTAAACGCTGCAAGGCAATGACAAAGGCAGAAGAAACTACAGGATGTTATGAATAGCAGACAGAAAATTCTGGAAGAAAGAAACACAGATACCAAGGGAAACAAAGAACAGGATGAAATGCGCAAGACAACTTAGCTGCATGGTTTGTATATTCTTGTAATCAATCCAGATGAGAGATATAGGAGGAGATACATTAAGGGGTTCCGAGCTCTGGGAACACATATTTACCAAAACACAAACTGAAGGTGAGAAAACTGCAAATGAGTTATGCTAACACAGCAGCAGAAAGCAGAGCTGATAGAAACAAGCAAGACCAGGAAGACCCCAATGGAGATGTGAAGCACCTTTGAGACTGAGCAGACTCAAAAAAAAGAAGGCCCTCCTCTCAACACTGGTCATATTATTAAGACACCTGAAAAGCACACGTGATGGATATTCTCCCATCTCATAACTAAATGGTTATAAAAGACTTGTATCTGATCCAGGTGTTCAAAATTATGAAAACCAGATTATGATCATATGGATCAGGCATGAAAAGGAAGAAATACTGTGTCACAGGGGCAAAGC